TATAATAGTTATAATTTTACACAATTTTTTACAATGCGCTTGAGACTAGAGAAGCCTCTAGGCCAGTCCGCTATGATTGTTGGTCGTCGATTTAAAAAAAAGTAACGGAAAAATAACGAAAAGTTACTTTCTCAAGTAACGGTAACTGTAACGAGTTACTTTTAAAAATCGGTAACTAGTAACGGTAACTTGTTACTTTCCCTACTGGGTAACGAGTAACTGTAACTTGTTACTTTTAAAAAGTAACTTTCCATTCCCTGATTTTATACATATTTATATTGCTTCACCTATTTTAAATACTTATATTGCAAGGAATATGCAAGTAATCTATCGTCACCTAATGATTATGAATTCATATAAATAAAATGCATTTTTTTTTATAGATACAACTGTTGCGAGAACAACTCAATCAGGAGATAAAGCGCAGGCAATTGTACGTTTTACGGAGCTCACGAGCCGGTAGAGAGATGCAACAATTGCGACAAGCGTTGGGCGACTCTTTGAGAACCGTGGCTCAAGATCCGTCGTTGGATGCGGTATTATTGGAGCACGAAGCGCGTAAATTGGACTCTACTGTGACGAGTACTGCTAGCTTACCACCGTCATTAGCTTTACCTGCCCCACCGTCTTACAGATCCAGCACTCCGTCACAACTAAAATAATATAAGAAGTAATTGTGGACTGAACTTTCTTTGCAAACTGCCAGTATACATATATCAAGCGTAGTACTTATATATTCTAAGTGCAGTACTTGTATACTACACTTGGACATTTATATCAATGAGTACTTATTTCTCAAGTCATATTTCTCAATAATATGGAGTATAATTAACTCGTGTATATTGTTCAGTGAGTGCTCGAGCATTGCACATCAAAGTCATTATAAAAAGCATATATAACATCAACAAACTACCGTGATGAATCTATAGCACTTCTTGATAATCATATGATTGGGACAATAGCGGATTTTTCGATAACTATATTTCATTTTATATACAATTTTTTTATATATATTGAATTTTTAACGATTTTACTTTATACGAATTTTATGCTTCCAATAATTACATTGGAGATCCAGGTATATTTCATATAGAGGAAGGTCACCGATACCGACATACCACTTTGTTTTTAGACAATATTTCTTAAACAAAAGGTAAAAATACAACTTCATAAACATAAATACAAAGTAAAAAGTGTCTTCTATCAGATAGTATAGGTAATTTTTATAATGCTGTTTGCAATTTTGCAATAATTAAGTTTTTCGTAAGTTATGCAAAAATGAAGTATCGGCGATTTTCCTCTAGTTTATTAATACGTGAATGAAATATGTGAAAGTTTTTGTATATACATACACTTTACTTTAAGAGTACTTAGCTAAATTAATAGTGATAATTGCAACTTTGTTTCACTACCTCAATTCTTGTCTACCCGTTATAAAGAAATTATTGCATAAAAGTTTCATATTCAATAATTAGTAAACATTAAAAAAAAATCATTCACTATAATTCATCATTTTATTATAATTAATTTATCTAAAAAATATATATTAACACACACAACACACATATAAAAGTATTTAACATTCTCTTCAAAAAAGGATATATTAATGTATAAACTATTATTATTTAATATTCTTAACAAAGACTTTACAGTAAATAAATGTTAACCTAAATTAAGTATACTAGTTCACAATCCGTCCATTGGTATTGTTATTGACCAATTTAAACTTACGAATTTATTTAATTTAGATACTAACACAATATATTCACTTTGTGACAGATACTTGTATTGAGAAAGTAAAGCGTGTACAAGGCGCTGATTCACATAACAAGAAGTGCTTTTGTAAAAGTAGGCGGCGACAGTAAAGAGAAAAGATGCTATGTTTAGTCTCGTTCTGAGACCAAAGTAAATCAGCAAACAAGAGAGCATTGTAGAGATACGCTTTCGATTATCAGATAGATATAAAGTCACTGAGTACATTTACTAACGTAAAGTGTACAAACGTAAACGTAGAGAACAACGTGCTACAAGAAGGAGCGAACTTTAAAAGTATACAGACATAGATGACAGCGAGACGGACTGTGTCTGTTCTTTATTATTGAGAATATAGACATCCAGTCCTGCAAATGTAGCCTAAAATGTAATCTGCCTCGGTTGAGCCGTCTAACTTGTGATGCGGAATGACCGAAAGCTTAAGGAAAATATATCATATTTTATCTTCGCGCATCTATGGCGCAAAATTTGCCCGGATAAGAAATTTCAAAGAAAATGGGCATCAGAGGAAACTTTAAGACTCGATTATTCATGGCATTTATCCGCCCGTTACAAAAATCTAATTTAATACTTCAAAATCGTCATTTTAATTACTTATTTTGAATATTGAAAGTAATGAATTACAATACTTTTAATACCCAAAATTCCAAAATAAATAGTTAATCATTACCTTCCAGTATTAAAATTTTATAAGTGATGAGGAAACCTAGAAGTTTAACACTGGAGGATAGTGATTAATTACTTATTTGGAGACTAAAAGCATTTTATTATATATATATGGGGCATTCTTTGCCAAATCGATCAAGCCTCTGTCCAAAATTGATATGGACGGATTTCAACGTTTGACCCCGGAAAGTGTTCGTCTTGAAAAGAGCTTTTAAATGAACCGTGGTCTTTTCGAAAATTCAAAATGGTGTCGCTGTATAACTTCGAAAGAGAAAAAAATAATTTAATT